TCCCATGGTCTTATTCGGGGTAAATCTTCTAAATGTCTATTTTGGGAAGCCCCATAAAACGTACAACAATAAATGTAAAAATAGCACAAAGCTAATCCACTTCCTCAGAGACATGTAATTCATAAATGTACATACATCATATTCCAAACAATAATAAAATAACAGAACTGATATGTTGCATATATTTTTTTTTCTTCAGAAACATCTTAGTAAGATAAAACAACAGACAAGAAATGTACAAGAAAATATATATATATAGAAAAATATGCATATATAATAAAAAAGGAGGGAACACCTACTATATAGGAGGAAAAAAGAAAAAGAGGGTAATTAATATTATAATCATATTAAAATGAGATCATTCTAAAAATAAATTTAAAATAATGCTAATGCTAAAAGACAGCATATAAAATAAAAAATATAAAAAATAAAAAATAGAATTAAAAAAAGTTGTACAAGGCAAATTCAGTGTTAAGACCCTTAGGTTCAAGGGTATTTAATGTGTGAACCCATTTCATTTCTTCTTTCCCTAAATGTTGAATAAAATTACCTCCTTGCCATGGTTTCTTAACTAATTGAATTCCTAAAAATGTGAGGCCACTAGGGTCTCTATTGTGATACCTTTTAAAATGGGCCGACACACTATGATGATCTAAACCTTTACGAATATTGTTAACCTGTTCATAAATCCTTTTGTGTAAGGGGCGAATAGTCCTACCCACATATTGTAACCCACATGGGCATATTAAAAGGTATATAATATTCTTAGTGAAACAAGTAATACAATCTTTAATAGTGTGTTCCTCTGTTGCATTTTTAGTCTTAAATTTACTAATCCCTTTTAAAGTATTATTCTTACTACATTTACATCCTGCACATTTTCCACATGAATAAAAACCTTTTCTATTTGCATTTAAAAACGTTTCGGGCACCTCTTTTCTTGGATGGTTAAAGGTTAAAATCTGCTTTAAACTAGGCGCACCTCTAAAAGTGATAAAAGGTTTATCCGGAATAATTACCGATAATTCTCTATCTTTTTTTAAAAGGTGCCAGTGTCTATTAATAATTGACTTAACTTTCTTAGAATCCTGATTATAATCTAAAACTAAAGGTACCTTATTAAGTTTTTTTTGTTCACCATTATGATTACTTTGTTTAAAAACGAATTCATTTTGATCGAATTCTTTAATTTCATCATACGCCCTATTTAATATATTAGTGGGATATTGTTTTTGGGAAAATTTATCTATCACCATTTTTGCTTGTTCTTCAAAAACATGCTGTTCGGTGCAGTTCCTTCTTATTCTTTGCAATTGGCCTTTTGGAATATTATTTAGCCATGCGGTGTTGTGCCCGCTGTTATATAAAACATAACTGTTGGCATACTTTTTTGAAAAAGTTTTTTGCTTTTAAGATACCCGCATCCTCATAAATTTCTAAATCTAAAAAATTAATATTATGACTATTAAAAGAACTGATAAAATTTAGGCCCCACTCATTTAGGTTAATACTTTCAAAAAAAAAGCTCTAAATCCATTTGTGTACCTTTCCATATAAAAAATATATCATCAATATATCTATGGTAGGAGACCAGGTTCGTCTCCCAGTTATGGCTGTTGTAAATAACTTCCGTTTCCCAGCCTAACATAAATAAATTAGCGTAACTAGGGGCGAACCTGGTCCCCATAGCATTACCTTGTAGTTGTAGCTAAAATCTAGAGTTGAAATTAAAATAATTATTTTCTAAAATCCATCTAATGCTGTCAATTAAAAATAAAATATGTTTGTTACTAAAATTACCCGATTTGTCCAAAATTTCCTGAATTATTTTACATCCCTTCTCATGAGAGATGGAAGTATAGAGTGCCGTTACATCTGAGGTTACTAAAAAGTAACCATTCTCCCATTTTATATTTTTTATGATTTTAATTACATATGTAGTGTCCTCAAGGTATGATGGCATATCTCTAACTAAATTTTGTAACCACGTATTTAGAAAGATTAGTTGAAATAGATCCAATACCGGACACAATCGGCCTGCCCGGAGGGTTCTCCAAATTTTTATGCACCTTGGGCAAAGTATAAAATACAGACACTCTAGGAAATTCAACTATATACTCATTTTCGTTTTAAATACCTTCTTCTTTACCTCTTTTAAGCAAGGTTTCCAATGAAGTTTTTATCTCTATAATCAGATCTTTTTCTAATATCCTATATATCTTTTTATCCTCCAATTGTCTGTAACATTCTTTCAAATAATTAGTAGTATCCTGAATCACAATGCTGCCCCCCTTATCAGCAGGCTTTATTATTATTTCTTTGTTATTTCTCAAATTTTGTAAGGCTTTATATTCATTAAAACTTAAATTCAAATCACGTTTTCGATTACATTTCCCTAATTTATCAAAATCCTCAATGACAGATTTTTCAAAAATCTCTATGGCACTTGTTCGATAATTTCTTGGATAGAAATTTGATTTATTCTTTTAATCGGTACGACTATCACTTTTCCTAGTATCTGTATATTTATTAATTTCAAAAAATCTTTTTAATCCCTTCAGACCGGAGGGCGTACTATTACGCCCTATTTTAGGCGGCTCTAAACGCCGCCGGGCGTAATAGTACGCCCTCCGGTCTTTCTTTACTTACCCGGTTGCCGGCGATCCCACGCCGGTGATCGCGGTTGGGGGGGGACTCCCAGGGAGTCAGGGTTAGCTGCCTCCTGCATTGCCAGCAGGGGGGCTGCCTGTAATGACAGGTGGTCCCCCTGCTGGCTGGAAATAAATTAAATAAAAGTTAAATAAGTGTAAAAGAGATATATATATATATATATATATATATATATATATATATATATTATATATATATATATATATATATATATTATATTTGTATATATATATATATATATATATATATATATATATATATATATATATATATATATATACACATACATATACACACACATATGCATACAAACACATACACTGTCTAGGTGTATTTTACTATTAATATATATAATAAAATTATATATATTAATATCAAATTACACGTAGACTGATATTGATTATATATATATATATATATATATATATATATATATATATATATACTCATATTTGTATTCAGTGAAGTCTCTTGAGTATAACAATACATCCTGTGTACAGGTTTTATGGTGTTTTGGAAAGTTATGGGGTTAAATATAGGGCTTGCCAATTAAATTCTCTGGACTGTTTGCATGGGTTGTCAGGCAGGTCCCTCAAATTATAATGAATAAAATCATATAATTATGTAGTTAATAGTTAAATATATACATACACACACACACACACAC